GACCCACTGTCCTGGTCCTAACGGGCAAAGACCACGTGTCCGGGAAGCCCCCCCCGCTCTCTGGGGGGCGGCCTGAGCATCTGTTTACCCAACCCTAATGGTAAATAGCCGAAGCGTCCACAGGTCTATCTTGTCCTTTTTGTAAAACAATTAGCTATCCAGATGGAGCCCTGCAAATCCAGGCGTTGGCGGCCCAAAGCCCACTGGCCTCTGGATCCGTTGACCTCCTCTTTCTGTTGCCCAGGCAAGTAGAGAACTTCAGAAGAGCAACTTGCTGACCCAAGGCGGTTCCTTCAGTGGCGCTCTCTGCTTTTCAAGGCAAGGGGGAGAGAAACGGGCCTTCCCCACAGAGAAGCCACCTTTATGCGTTTAGCCATCGATGATGCAGCTGCGCCGCTTTGGGAATTTGGCTTGCTGGCCACCGCTGCATCTTGGGAGGCTGCGAGCTCTGTTTGTGAATCCTGTTGCAACAATCCCATCTCCGCCGTGAAGTCTGCCAGCTTATCGCTAACCCGATTGATCGGGCAAAGCCTGGGATGAACAGCGGATTCATACTCCAAATTTTCTGAGCTTTGCGTTTCCAGATTCAGGGATGTGGTTCAAAGGTATATTTGTACCGTTCACAGCGTGTGTCCTTTTAAAGCTAGGAAGGAGAGCTAGGATTGGACCAGAAGTCCTTATCCTCGGTTTGTTGATTCTCCAGAAGGGAACTCGAGGGGACCCCATCAGCAAGATCTAAAACCATCTTAAAAGTCCAAATTAAGAAACAGTGTGCAGCTCTATTAAGAAGAACAAAACTTTTAAACTGAGCGCTGGCAATCACCACGCGTGAAAGGTGATTTGCTTTTTGGTGGCGTTTGAAATGAGAAAATGGCATCGCGAAAAGAGTGCTCAAATATTTTGGGAAGAGCTGAAAGATCAAATGACTTTGAATCCAGAAAGGCTGTGCGGAGAGGTGCTGGAGGGTGAGTGTGCAAAGGAACAGGTGTGGCAGGTGCATTGCTCCCACGAGAGGTGGAGAAACCACCAACAGCCATGATAACATCTCAACTTTTCCTAAAACCGTCTTGGACCATGTCCCGGGATCCCTTAAAGACCAATGTGGGTAGTTTTTAATTTCTTCTGAAATAAGCGGCAGGGCCAATGTTCTGTGGGGCTTGGCTGTGTGTATCTCTACATCTTGTTTCCAAAAACGTGCACGTAATGGTGAAGAAGGATGGCTTGTGCATGCTCAGAGACACTTCGTAAGATGTTATTACATGGGGCTTTTTAGATAGGCATCTGTTCAGCTACGCAGCTCACGGTTTTTAAGGGAAACTGGAGGAATTTGTAGTGGTACTCGAGGTTCATCCCTCAAATCTGGACGGCCCCCCTTCTTGCTTCTGGATTTTAGAAAGGCCATGGAAACCTGGCTCTTTCCACAGGCCCTGGGTGAGAACGGTGCGAGTGCTCCCTCCTGTACTCAGGGATCTAATGGATTTCGTGAATGAAAAGCTTTAGTCTCTCTGGCGCTGCGCTTTGCACGATATTGTTCTTTGCGTTCTGGTCTCTGGGCTTTTTAACTTTGCTTCGGTAAATAGGATACGTAAGGCGCTCAGAACTGGTTTTGATAGGAGTGCAGTATGAGCTTTGTAAACGGGTGTCTGCAGGAGGGGTCAAAGAAGTCAAGATGGCAGCTGTGGCTGTGTGGTTGAAGCCCTGCGCCTTTGAAATGTGTTGCATGCGCGATGCACGTAAAAAAGGGTGGGGCTTCATTGGCACGGTTGCAGCCGCCATCTTGACTCCTTTGATGTGCCCCTGCCTGCAAATGCCGTCTTGGGCCCACTGGTCTCTCGGTCTCAGAATTGCCCCTAAGATTTAAGTCTTTTGACTGTGTGTGTATGTCCAAGGAGGGTCCCACTCTCCCTCCCCAGAGAGCACTGTGGAAGCAAGATTCCTCTCTTTAGCTCAGTTCTTACAGCTGCTTTAGGAGAGATGTATTTTTCCATTCTCTTTTTATTTCGCTTCTTGAGTTGCAAACTTCAGGTTTTGGAGAGAGATTTCAGGGCAGATGGAAAGAACCAAGGGAGAAGGCATTTAGTACTCTCAGAAAAGGCAAGTTTTTCCCTCTCCCACTTTGTAAAAAAAAAACAGGAATCTCGTAACTGCGAGCACCGTTGATCCCTCCCTTTGATCCCTCAAAATTTATATTAAAATTTTAATGTAAAAAGAGGACACGGTTCCTTTTCAAAGCAAAGCAGCTTATATTCTATACGGTAGAAATTCTTATATTCTACCTTTTGGCCTTTAACATCCTAAAAGAGCCCCTGAGATGGGAGGATACTCCTGGAACACTTGGCTGGCTCCGTTCAATAGGGCAAAACTGGGTCTGGGCAGCGGTACCTCCACCTAGGGCAGCCCACCAGATGCCACCAAGAAGGCCCCCTCCGGGCTCATTCAGAAACACTGCTCCTTAGCATGGAAGCTCCACTGTTAACCAGTCTGGCTGTTAGGGTAAGCAGGGCCCTGCGGGATGTCTTCCAGCGTCCCTGGAGTCCAGCAACATCTTCCAAATGCCCGTCTCCCCCGTTTTCAACTTCGGGCAAAGGTTTTATTTCACCGAATGATTCAGCCTTGGAAATGCACTCAGAGGCTCCAAGCATCAGGACCAGAAACTTGAGGGCTTCTTCGTCTGACCTGCTTCCCACAGAGCTCCCAGGAACTAGGACGTCCCCCTAGTGCAGTGTTGTCCAAACTTGGCCACTTTAAGAGGAGTGGACTTCAACTCCCAGAATTCCCCAGCCAGCCATGAACGCAAAAGGTTGGAGAAGGAGGGTGCTGATCCGTCCACACCGTTCCCCGAAAGGCAGGTACAACAGGGACGAGTTCCTGAATCCCTCCCCGTCAGCTCTCAGATGGGCAGAAATTCAGGTGGTGTATTTCTCTTTTTTTAAAGGAAGGCTGATGAGCCATTGGCCTTTTAACTGATTACTGCTTTGTTTAAATGTGCCTATTCCTGAAACCTTGACTTGAGGGCCTTTTTGAGATAATTGAGAGAAGTAATGCAAGGAAACTTGTAATTAAGCAATTTAAGAATGCCACCGATTGTTATCAGAAAATATTTTCCTTTGTGCCCCCCCAAAGGGTAATAATTAATGCAGCAGGACGAAAACATCTTCCAAATGCCCGTCTCCCCCCGTTTTCAGCTTTGGGCAAAGGTTTTATTTCACCGAATGAGTCAGCCTTGGAAATGCGCTCGGAGGCTACAAGCATCAGGACCAGAAACTTGAGGGCTTCTCCGTTGGACCGGGGGCTCTCGGAGCCCAGAGACCCTGCCTCTCACCCCAGCATCGGCTGCCTGCCTCGCCCCTTCTGTTGGCAGGAGCTGCTGGGGCCGAGCAGAATGGGAGGGGTGGGTGGAACAGGGGCAGGGGGATTATCTCCTCCCCCAGCCCCACTTCTGGGTTTAGCACACGGGGCTCCGTTTCTCCTGGCTGTTCAGCAAAGCTGGAATTGGCTGGAGGGAATTAAATTGAGGGCATCACAATGCAAAGGCTTCCAGAAAGTGGGGGGAGAGAAGGGCAGGAGGGAGGCCCCAGAACCCTCTCTTTGCTTTGGGGGGCCGGGCTGGGCAAACCCTGTGCAGAGGATCCAGGTCTAGCATCTCCCCCTCTTATCCATCCCGTTAAAGATTAAAATAGAAAATTGGTGAGCCTGGACCTAAGCTGCTATCTCAGGAAGCCTCTCTTTTAAGAAATTACTCTGGCCTGTTCGGTGGTCCAGGGGTACCACTGGGGGGGG